TCAAAAAATTTAAAAATTTTAAAAAAATAAATAAAAAAAGAAAGACACTGAACAAATTGTGGAGGGAAAGTTCATGTCTTATTGGACCAACTCAAGCAAGGTTGTAGGAGAGAGATGGCATTAGAGTCAGTTTGAATGGGAGACATGCGATAAAGAATAAATGTCCAAGAATAAATGTGAATGAATTATTAACTCTGATTGAGTATAAATTCACTAGCTTTACAGTCAAAAGAATTTTAGCACCATAATTTAGAACAGCAATATGGTATTGGAAGTGTTGTATGTGAGAGTGACTAGATATGTCAGGTGCTTTAAGACCTGCTTGCTTAGAGTTTACTATATTTGAACTTTTGAAAGGGAGACAGGTATGCCAGTTGAGCAGTCTTATTGTCTTCTGTACTTCCATCCTATATGTGGACTCATGATACTTTCATTAGGGAAATATGTATTTAATTTAAGTAATTATTTTACATATCCAATAATTTATCTGTTGACTGTGACAGGCATATAGTAAGGCTGTAGATGCCACTGATCCTCTTAAAGCGTGTTCGAGGCAGATGTTGGTAAAGACTCCTTAAAGGATGAGGTTTCTCATGCCTGTCTTAGAGGGTGAAGACAGAGAGTTGGGGCAAAGGGTGCATGGTATATGAGGCCTTTACAGGGTACAATTTAAGTTCTCACTCACAGAGTATCATATGCTCTATTTCTCTTTCTTAATCATAATTTCAGATTAAGATCTAGAAATTTCAAGGAGAAGAGATTGTCTTACTGGCCCTTCTTTACCCATTAGAAGTAAGAATACTGACTTATATGCCCTTACCTCTGTGCCCTTGGCAGTAAACAAAATTGAATACCTTGGGACAAAACAGGAAGACTACAAGGATGCTGGAACATTAACACATGGCTTTGTCATTGTCTGCCTGACTGCATCTTTTGAGATAGTGAGGACAAAGTGTGGACACCTTTGAAGTCTGTTCAGTCAGGTCACTTTCTCTGCTACTTGTGAAGTGCAGACGTGCCTTCACACAGAACCAGTAGTGACCTGGGAGGGAAACGTGTACCACAGGGCTGACAGACCTGCTGAATAGCAAACTGCATTCTCTCCTTGCAGTGCAACAGCTTATACCTTTGGAATGGGATAGAGTTCTCAGAGAGGACTGGGTGTGGAGCTTGACACATAAAATGCCCATATGATACATTTAACTGGTTGGGGAAAATAAGCAAGCAAAAGTGATTGTGATCAAAATTTAATTTTAAAATGAAACTCACGTTAAATATTAAGTTCTTGGGACTTGTGTGGGTTGTTTATAACAGTTTCTGCTACCAATTACTTGTATTTGGTGTACTTTAAAAAACCGTTTCCTAAACATTTTTTGTTTAATGTTTTAATATGAATGCAGAGAGCAACAGATCCCCGTTCATCATCATTTATCTCTTGCCAATCTCTTTTTCCTTGTAGTTATTATCAGATGCATCCCAGCCTCTCGAAAGTCAGAATTTTTCTCCTGTGGTGCGAGATGTAAGTTATAAGAATTTCTTTCTGTGGATATGCTTTTCTCCACTACTGTTTTTACTTTCCTCATTCCTTTACCCCTTCTCTGTCCATGTTTCTTTCTCTGTTTATTTGTCTTCTCCTAGTTCTTTGTCAATAAGTAATAAGCCCATTTTGGTAGGATTAAAATGTTGGATACTAAGGAAATGTCTTGTGTTTTTTGCTTTTAGGCAGTGATTACATCCAATGGTTTATTGACTGATAAATATAAATATATCCAGAAACTCCGAGAAAGCAGGTAAGCACTGTTCAAATTCTCTTGTTTTATGCATTTATTCTTCTTTTGGATTTGTTGAGTATTTTTAAAAGCTTCAATGGGAGTTTTTAATATTGTTCATTTAACATGTTCATTTTGTTAATAAAATGTGTAAATATAGAAAGTCCAAACTAAGTGGCCAGTACAACCAGTGTGAGTTATTTTTCGTTGGGGAGTAATACAGCATCCTCTAGCTGTATGATAACTTGTCCACATTTATGTATGAACAAGAAAAAAGTCAAGAAAGTTTCCATATGTACAGCCTTTTGTTCTGCCTCCAGCATTTTACATATTGGGAGTTCTGTTATAATCTCAGAGGAAAATGAGCACATTATCTCTTTCGGTGCTGCGAGTAGCTTGGGTTCTAGTTAAAGGTTTGGACTTTTTTGTTTAGTATGATGAGTAGGAGATGAGTCTTGGGTAGAAATGAAGGGAAATAGTGAAAAAAAAAGTAAATAGCGAGAGATAGTTTTCTCTTGGAATTCCTGTCAGAGTGAAGGAGCCACAGAATAATATGGTCAGTGTCTGCAAGAGAATTTTTTTAGATTCTCAACTAAGGCTCTTCCTCCATTAATGATTTTAGTGCTCAGGATTTGAAAACCTTAACATTTCTTTGGAATATTCTGATTTCCTCCAATTGATTGCACTTGATTTTTTTTTTTTTTTTTTTTTTTTTTTTTTGATGATGTGATTCTTTTATACCATATTGATTTTTAAAAATCAAACTTTTGGGGCCAGGAAGATGGTTCAGTAGAATAAACGCTTGCCTGGTAAGCACAAGGGCCTGAGTTCAATCCCTGGTTCTGAAAAAAAAAAAAAAAATCAGACTTTTTTTTCTCCCTTTTTTAGTACATGTTTGGAATAAACTATGTTGCACTTGTCCTAGGGAGTGAGCTCATGTACTGAACATATTTTGATTCTTTTTAATTCTTTTCCCTTCCCCACTCACCTCTGTCCCTCTGTCTCTAGATTTCCTTCTTTTATTCTTTCTTTCTTTTTTTTTTTGCAGAACGAGGGATTGAACTCAGGCCCTTGTGCTTGCCAGACAAGAACTCATTCTGCTGAGCTATCTCCCCAGCCCTCCTTTTCTTATTATGAATAATTATCATTAATTGTCCATGTTTGTCACCTTAAAGATTGCGTTCGCTGATGGCGGTTGCTACATGTGCATGACACATCTTTTATTCCTGTCACTTAGACTCTTGGTCCCCTTTGCATTTGCAAAAGATCTGTCTTCCTGTTTCCTTTTATCAGTCTTTTATTTTGCTCTTTATCTGTACTTTTAATTCCTGAAATAAGAGAAACTATATGGTGCTTAAGCTTATGAGGCTGATTTATTTCACTTAACATAAATGTCTCAGATTTATCTTTCTTTACAGCTGGGTAGTATTCAGTTATGTATAGAGTCTACATTGTCTTTATGCACTTGTCTGTTTATGGACACATGGATGGCTCCAAAATTTAGGTACCAGGAGTTGTGCTGCTATAAATGTAAATGTGTATGTGTCTGTGTAACATGATGGCCTTGGCTCTTTGAACAAGACTCCTAGAAGCAGAATTTTGGGGTGAAATGAGATTTCCAAGTTTAGTTCTTTGAGAAGTTTCCATTCTGTTTTCCAGAATGATAGTATTAGTTTATATTCACCCCAACAATGTAGAAGGGTACCATTTCCATTGCAGCCATGCCAGAATTTATTATTTGATTTCTTGATGATTACCATTCTTTCTGACATAAAAGCATTGTTTTAATTTGCATGTCTCTAAGGGCCAGAGATGCCAGAAATTTTTTTTTTGTATGTTTACTGGTCGTTTGTAGTGCTTCTTCTGAGGAGTGTGTATTGATTTCAGTTGCTAATTTTTTTCATTAGGTCTTTTGTTTAGGATATGCATTGGGGGGTTCTTTTTTCTTTATATGTTCTAGTTATTGGTCCTTTGAAGAGTAGCTGGCATTTTTTTTTCTGTATATTGTCTCTTTACTCTGTTGATTGTTTCTTATATTGTACAGAAGTTTTTTAGTTTGATGTTATCCTACTTGTTGATTCTTACTGTTATTTCTTGTATAATTGGTGTTTATTGCAGTACCTCTTTATTAGTACTGAGAAGGGCTAGCGAGATAGATCAGTGGACTGAGTGCCTGCTTAGGCAAGAAAAGGGACCAGGCTTTGAACCCTGGCACCACATGCTGCACCAGTCCTGGGCACACTGAGCTAGGCACTGAGACTGAGCATGGTGGCACACCCATAATTCCATTGCTGGGAGGTTGAAAACAGGAGGATCACCACTAGTCTGATCTGCATAGTAAGACCCTGTGTCAAATACACAAATGGAGGAGATGACCCAGGGCCGCCGGATCCTGAATAGACCTGGAAGTCAGGCCTGGCGGGCCACCGGAACCTGAATCAATCCAGAGCCAGAATGCAGGCCCAGCCTGGAACCCTGCAGCAGAACTCCCTGCAAAGAGGCTAGAGGCAAGACCCACCCAGCTGATTGAGGAGCAGAACATCTTGCCAGAGTGACACAAAGGGTTCAACTCCAATGGCTGCAGCAGGAAGAAGTGGTGCACAACAACCAGACCCCAGCCAGATCCAAGTAACACCCACCTGAAAGAATCTGAACTTCGTAGATCCAGACCTGGTGCTAAGGTAATAACTCTATCTAAACTCTACACCAAAGGTCAAAAGACAGTGGTTTACAGAATGACAAAGAGAAGGAACAAAATGCGGTCTCAGGCCCCAAGTCCACCCAGTACAAATGCAGAAGACACTAGCATAGAGGTAACTGGAAATCACACATCTAATATCTCTGAAATAATAGCATTGGAAGTAAAGAAACAGCTACAGAAAGGTCTAGAAGAAATCCGATCAGAAATAATTTCTGAACCAAAAAACTTACTGATAACTATAATCAAAGAAATACTAAGTGCTTCTAAAGAATACAATGATAAAAAAAATAGAGCAGAATATAAAAATGATGGAACCCCTGAATAAGCAATATAGGAAATAGAATGTATGGAACAGATTCAAAGTGATATACAGGAAATTAAAACCTCAATCACAAGCTAGCAAAACTGTTTGAGGGAAAGTGAAAACAGACTTTCTAACCTTAAAGTCACCATTGCAGATAGTGAAAAAGTAAGAAAAAATCTCTTAAAAACAGGTAGAATGCAGGAAAAAATAATTCAATACCTGCAAGATGATGCAAAGATGAACGATGTGAGACTAATAGGCATCAATGAGAAGGAAGGAGTCAATACAAATGATATAAAAAGAATATGGGCAGAAGTAATAGCAGAAAACTTCCCAAATATGGGGCAACAATCTGACATTCAAGTAACCAAAGCATATAGAACTCCAAATAACATCAAGCCAATGAAAACCACACCCATACATATAATAATCAAGATCCCAGAAATTTAGCACAGAAACAGTATACTAAAAGCTGCTAAAGAAAAGAAACAGATCACATTTAAAGGAAAACCCATCAGAATAATGGCAGATTTCTCTTCACAAACCATCAAGTCAAGAAGAGCATGGGGCAAAGTACTTCAAGTCTTGCAAGAAAACAAATTTGAACCCAGACTGATATACCCTGCAAAACTCTCTTTCAAGTATAATGGAGAAGTGAAATACTTCCATGACAAAGAACAACTAAAGAATTTCATAATGACAAAGGCAAGCCTACACAAAATACTAAATGATGTTCTAGAGAGGGAGCAAATTGATCACAGCCTCATGAATGAGAATGGAAAGAACCCACCAAATAGAGCAAACAAGTAAACACAGGAGAATAAGAGGTATACAATAGTCGTCTTTCAGTTATTCTTTTGTGTTCAGCGGCAAAATATTTCCATCAGCACATCCTACAAATGGACTTCTCTTCTATCCTGTGGGTCATGATTCCATCTGGGTCTACAGAGTGGATTTCAAAAAAATAGCTGTATCTCAGTCCCACAAGTGATGCCTGGCCACCAGTAACTGTCATGGTCATTATGCATGTCCACAACATGCTAGAACTTTGTGCGATATCCTATCCTCAAACTGTTAGAAGTGCTGGTCATTTATTTGCCATCCCAGTATTTATCCTATGTTTTAGTCTTAGTACTTCTTTGCTATCATGAAAACTTTTTCTTAGTTCAATTGTTTTGAAACATTTAATTTTTAATTAGTATTTAATTTTCTGACTATTGCTTAATCTTAATTTTTGTTCTAAGTTTTATACTATATCTTTGACTTACAATTTATTTAAAAGCCATCGTATGATATCTTCTCCTAGCATTAGAAACTTTAAAAAGTATATTTCCATTTTCTATTGACTTTATATTACTTCTTCCTTGTCTTTTATACACACACACACACACACACACACACACACACGAAAAAAATACATGTATAACCCAACGTAAGATTGGTACTGTTTCATAGAAATCTTCAATGACCTTTAAATAAGGGTTCATCTAATATATCTTTTATATAGTCCTGCATAACTATCATATTGAGAGCTCTTTATTGTTCATCCAGGAGCATACTGCAACTTCTCTTGCCTTTTGAATTATGCTCTTTGTTATTTCCTATATGCTATGTCTGGAGGTGTTAAAATATTTCAAGTCTGTATAACTAGAAAATCTTACTTTTAGTTTTCAAAGGTATGTTTGCTAAGTATAAAATTCAAAGAGGACAGATCATTTTTTTTCTTTCAGTCCTTTAATTAGTCTAGTTTCTTATACACTTGGTCCTTTTTTCATTCTACTGTAGAATAAGATGCTATTTAATTTTCTTCTTCCATAGCTAGTATTTTTTTATGTATATGCTTTAATGATTTTTTTCTTTACTATAAGTTTTGGACAATTTCATTTTTGTGTATCTTGGTATGATTTTATTTAAATTTCTTGTGCAAAAAGGTTCATTTTTCTTGGAAATTTGGTATTATAAGTTGAACTAAATTCAGAAATTTTAAATCTTTAAATATTTATTGCCTACTCCTTTCTACTTTGAGAATTCTAATTATATGAAGTTTCTTGGTTTTGACACAGTGAACTATTGTGACTGATCTGTAAATTCTTTCTTCATTTTGGACAATTTTTATTATTATGTTCATTTATGTTTTTAAATAATTTATTTTCAATTTGTAATCTATTAGAAAATTAAAATTAAAAAATTAAAAAAAACAAATACACAAATGGAAAATAAAAAAAGGAAAACTGAAAATTTATGGAAGTCTGTACAGTAGGGCATCTCAGATAGCAAGTCTGTAGCTCTTTACTATATGAAATCTGTAATAATGAGAAGTTGTATAGTAATAATGTCTTGATTATTGATACAGAGAACTCCTGTTTAGGTTCCTAGTACAAGTAATATAGACAGTGGTTGTTACTTTGTAAGCTGGGTTTGGGACTGATATCAAGACAGCAAGATTATGTTATTTAAAACACATAGAAATTGTCATTCTTTTTTTCTTTTTTAAAAAAACAGAGAACGCATTCAGCAACTTTCAATGAATATGAAGAAGAAGGTCTTGGTTCTTGGCTCTGGCTACGTATCTGGGCCTGTATTAGAATACTTGTCAAGAGACAACAATATAGAAATAACATTAGGTAAATAAGCCCTAGTATTTAAAGAAGAAAAACTGATTTCATAACATGTGGCCCTATACCTTTTAGATGACTACTTTGTTTTCAAAACTGGAGAAATAATTTTTTTTGTGATGTTAAAATGTGTATTTCTCCTTGTCTGGTGGCAGGAAATCTAAAACAGATGTTTTTGTTCTTGACATAGGCTCTGACATGATGAGTCAAATTAAGCATTTGAGCAAGAAATACAATATTAATCCTGTTAGCATGGACATTGCTAAACAAGAAGAAAAGCTGAGCTCCTTGGTCGCAAGCCAGGATCTGGTCATCAGGTATCTGGCCAGAAATGCGGGCCATGTATTGTATTTTTTTTGTAATTTCTCTTTTTTCTTCTCTCTGCCTTTTCCCTCTCCTTCACTGCTCCTTCTTTCCCCTCTCTCTTCCTTTCTCTCCTTCTGCTTTCATTTCCTATCTCTCCCTCTCTCCTTTCCTTTCCTGTCTTCTAGTCTTCTCTCATGAACTTTCATCCTGAAGTATGCATCCAAAACAGGCACAAACGTAAATGCGTAGCTGCATGAATTTTCACAGAGAGAAAACATCTATAATCATTATTCAACGCAGGAAACAGGGTATCACTGGCATACCAGAAGCCCTCTTCATGACAGCTTCTGTTATCCACAAGGGTAAATGTTATTCTAGTTCTAATATGCAGATTAATAATTGCCTGTTGTGAAAGTTTATGTAATTAGAATCTTTAAGTACATTTTCATTAATGGCTGTCTCTATTCAGTACTCTGAGTTGTTTGCTTTTGTCTGTAATTGTAGTTTATATCATTACTGTGCATTATTTTATTATATGATATATCATTATTCATTTGATTGTTGACTGATATTGAGGTTCTTGCTGAATTTTTTTTATAATATTATCATTATTTGTTTGTTTATTTATTTGGTACCAGCTCTTGCTATGTAGCTCAGACTTGCAGTGATTCTCCTGGAGTGGTCCTACTGTTTCAGCCTCCCCAGTTGTGGGAGTACAGGCATGCACCACCACACCTGGTGCTGGGGCTGGCATGGTCTGCGGTACCAGGAATCGAACCTGGGTCCTGTGCTTGCCAGGCCGGCACTTAGACCACCAAGCTCTCTCCCCAGCCTCTTTCTGGATTTTGACTATTGTGAATCATGCTGTTAGGCACATCTTAGCATCTTATTTTCATGACTATATATGTGCTTTCTGATGGCTTAAACCTAGAAGTAGAATCATTGGAGTATGCAGTACTCATGCATCATTTATTTTGATGTTTGTTTTGTCCTTTGAACATAAAAAAATTAAAATGAGTAGATACTCTAATTTATATGAATATTTTAAGTCTTATCATGAAGACAGATCTTAACATATAGTGATTACTGTTATTGAGAATAAATAAAGCTCCAGAATAGTGGGCATAGTGGAACATGCCTATAATCCCAGCACTCCAGGAGGCTGAGGTAGGAGAAACAAGTTCAAGCCCAGCCTGGGCAGGTTAGCCACTTAGAAAGACCTATATCAATCAATCAATCAATCAATCAATAAAATAAAAGAGGGTTAGGAATGTGGCTTAGTTTGAAATGTTCTGGGTTCATTTCCAGTACCTAAAATTAATGTGTGTTTAACTTCCACTCACAGAGATATATAAGATTAATTCTATAATGAAATTGGTTTGGAAATGTCAAAAGTGAGAATAGTCATCTGTTCTTAGAATATAATTTTGCCAAGATGAGAGGAGGAGAGTTGCCTGCTCACTCATAGTGACTACTCAATAGCTCTATCATTAGGTAAGCCTCAGATGATTTAGTTAGAGGAAGCGTGGTGATCTGCAGTTTAAAACACAGGCTTGGAAAACAGCCACAATGAAAGGCAACGTAATGCAAGTGGAAAATTTTATATTATGTCCCTAAATCTTTAAATATAGACTGGGGCCAGCCAGATATCTCAGCAGATTAAAGCCCCTGCTTAGGCAGATAGAGGGACCGGGTTCAATCCCTAGCGTGCCGTGCCAGCTGCACCCCCAGGGCCTGCTGAGAGGGCGATTGAGACTTGACCAGGTGGCGCACACCTGTAATCCCAGCACTTGACAGGCTGAAAAGAGGAAGATCCCTATGAGTCAGATCCATGTAGTGAGACCCTATAGACCTGCAGAACCTATACTAAATACATAAAAAATCACCTGGGCACTTATAGCATTACTCAATTTAGACAGACTTTATGTAAATTAATTTTTATTCAGCAGAAATTGACTGATTATTAATATATCCTGCCTAGCAGCCATATGATTATGAAAAGAAATTCTAACTCAAACTCAGAAATGCTAGCCTTCTATCTGCATCTTTAAAACAGAAAGAATTCATGTTATCACACTACATATAAGTATGTGTGATAAATTTGAAAAACACGGTAACATAACATAGTACTTTTTATAAGTTAGTATTAATTTTTCATTAGTATTGTGTAGATTGCTGTACCTCATAGACAGTTACTGAGACGCAGTACCTGACACCCACAACTTAAAGGAGGAAGGGCCTTTTATTTTGGCTCACAGTTTGTAGAGGTTTCAGCCCGTGTTTGGCTGGCTCCAAGATGGGGCAGCATGGCACAGGCCACAGCAGAGAAGTGGTCAGGGCATAGCGTGGGAGGCAGGAAGACTGGGAGAGCTGTGTGGGGAATGTGCCCCCCTGTCCACGCCCCCAGCGACCTCCTTCCTCCGTGCAGTTTCATCTCCCAGCATCCCATCCATCAGTGGACTGATGTACTTGTGAGAGTCCCTGCCCTGTCACCCCATCTCCTCCCCAGCACCCCCTCTATAAGCCTGTGAGACTTTGGGGAGACATCGAGGTATAATTCAGGCAGGCCCGTAAGCTAGCAGAGTATAAATATTGTTACGTATTCTACAGAGTTATTTATCATTCCATGGATAGAATACAGATGCACTCAAGCATATCAGTGTGTATGAAAATTAAAATAGCAAAGCAAAACTTTTGAAAGACCTAATCAAAAGCATGACTGCAGCTTCATGTCGTGCTCACCGCTCCTCGCCACGTGGTAGCCTGTGCACCAGTTTACGCTATGGAGCTGTTTTGCCATGGGCTGTGTTTGGAGTCTACTTTGAAGGCAACACATAAGCCATCTGATCTAGTTTGACACTTCTGTGGCAGCCACCTGGGAAATGTGGAAGTGAGCAGAACAGCAACCCTGTTTCTTAGTAGGAAATCCAAGAAAGAAAACCATGGAAATAAAAGGATAAATGGAATAGATTCCATCAAATGGTATAAAAAACAATTGGATGGTTATAGAGGAAGGCGATCTGCCTTTGGGGTAATCTGTAAAAAGTTCTTGGAGGAAAATAACTATTCAGCCATTTTTTTAAATTTTATTTTATTAGTACATGTTTGTAGCACATGCAGCTTACAGTCATCTTGGGGAGTGGATACCTGTATATACTACACCTCGCTTCTTTTTTCAGTCCCCTCCTTCCCTTCCCTCCGTCCTCCTCTAGTCTCCTCTCCTCTTTATTATTCTTGTTGGGTGGCATATAATGTTTACATTCATGTAAATCATTGAGTGCCTTTACATGACACATCTTTATTCTACTTATATAGCCTTCCCCTGCAGCTTGTCTCCTGAGACCCCGTGCTGCGTGGGATTCATCTCCTTGGCCCCTGCTAGCCATCCTTTTAGAAAAGGGTCAGACTTGAATCAGAGTGTGTGGGGGTGACAAGCACTCCAAGGGGCAGGTGCAGTAAGATGAAAGATCCAGCGTGGAGAGGTAAAGGCTTTTAGTAGAGAATGACAGTCGCTTCTGTGGTTCCATCCATGATTTATGAAAAAAAAGATGGAAAAATAGGGAAAGATAAAGCAAGCCCCATGGTAGAGGCTTTTACATGTGATCACAGAATGAAGGTTTTCTGTAGTTTACAGTGTGGTTGGTCATTGTTGAAAGAATCATTTAATTACATCAGTAGCTTAAGACCAAGCTGCAGTGTGGTGCAAGGTAGGCTGAAGGGCAGGTTGGAGAAGAGCTTCTGCCTAGTCTCTGCTTCTCTTTTCAAGCCTGTTGCCATACGTGCTCCATCCTATTGTGGCCAAGGTGTGCATCGCTAACAAAGTTAACATGGTCACAGCGAGTTACATCACACCAGCACTAAAAGAGCTGGAACAGAGGTGAGTGTCAGCCGTTTCCAACCCAGACGTGGCAAGGTGCCTTGTTTCTGTGCTCTCTCTCATTGTCTTTTTCCGCTCTCCACCTGTGACAGTGTGAAAGAGGCCGGCATCACGGTCATCGGCGAGCTGGGATTGGACCCTGGCCTTGATCATATGTTGGCAATGGATACAATTGATAAGGCCAAACAAGTGGGAGCCACGGTGAGCCCAGGTGGTAGCCGCTGAGGGACACGTTGAGAGGTCTAGCTCCTCGAATACAGAAATGATCTTTCTGTAGTTTCGATAAAAGAGTTTTGTTGTATTCTAACTCATCCCTCCGTTAGGAATTTCAAATAAAATTGTACAAGTACACACACACACACACACACACACACACACACACACATACACATATATATGTAGGATAAAATAATATCTGAGTGTTAAATAGCAACAAGTTTTTAGCAAAATAGATGCTATCATAGTATTTTGGCTTAATAATGATGGAACTGACCAAGAATAATTGAGGTAATGTAAATTTTTAAATAAGCAAAATGTCTAT